ATTAAGTGAGTTAACACAAAAGGCTCTTTGATAAGCATATGGCAGTGGTTCTCAGCCTTTCTAATGCCGTGACCCTTTAATACAGTTCCTCGTGTTGTGGTGACCCCCAACCATAAAATTATTTTCGTTGCTACTTCATAACTGTAATTTTGCTACTGCTATGGATCTTAATGTAAATATCTGTGTTTTCCGATGGTCTTAGGTGATTCTTAACCTGTGGGTCGGAAAACACAGATATTTACATTACGATTCATTAACAGTAGCAAAATTACAGTTATGAAGGGGGGTCACCACAACATGAGGAACTGTATTAAAGGGTCGCGGCATTAGAAAGGTTGAGAACCACTGGCATATGGCATGTGCTGAATAACTGCATGCCTATTATCATTCATTGTCTTTATAGTTTCAGATATACACTAATCAGTGTAAATCCCAACACAACACACCGACATGATTTTATACACTGGGAGGGGAAATATTTTCTGAGTAAGTGGAAAATTTGGCAGACAGCTTCTGGAAGACCTTCATTTTAAGGAGCTTTATTTTATTTCTTTCTTAAATATTTTTATTGATATTTAGAGACAGAGGGAGAAAAACATCGATGCAAAAGTGAAGCATCTGTCGGCTGCCTCCTGCACACCCCTTTCCGGGAATCAAACCAGCAATCTTCTGACACCCAACTGAGCCACACCAGCCAGAGCCGACACAGCTTTACAGTAAACATTTCATTTAAAAATCCGGATCTTCTTTTTCAGTTGGCTGTAAACTACATTCACTGAGTGGAAGTTGGATTGATCATTGGGAACCAATTTGTTCCAAGGTTCTGGGTTAGTTTTTCTGTCCTAGCAAACATCTGGATTGAATAAGGCCAGGCACAAGATACCAGCATACAGCGCTGTCCCAGAACCTTGGGCTCCGAGAAATACAATAAGGGGATGGAGCGTGGATGCCTCCTGGCCTGACCGAGGATCTGGCGGAGCATGGTTGTGGCAGAGGGCTCTGGGCTGGGGGCAGAGAAAATCAAAACTGCAAGGCCCGGAAGCAGGCAGTCTGTGCAGCGAGCATAAACGGCTGTCTTCCTGTCACTGATGCCCATCCCGTTTGTGGGCCCGAAAAAGACTGCAGATTTATTCTAGCTTATGGTGACTGCTTAGGGATTCAGTGAGGAACCTGGGTAGGATCTTGTACAAAGACCCTCTGGTCTCTTAGACATTATGCTCATGACTTCTTTGGAAGGACAAATGAAACACAGGAAATATTCCAGGCCAGAGGTTGCTTTGTGCTGGAGAAGATCGTATGTCACTGAATCCTCCCCATGTCTAGAAGAATTAATCACCACCTCAGAACCCGAACTCCCCCCAACACTCAGAACCATCACAATGCCGAAGTGAAAGCCACCGAAATCGGGGACTCATAATTGTAGTTCACAGCCTTCCACACAGTTGGTGAAAGGTGACCTAAGGCAGTTCCTCATTTCCTACAGTTCCCTACAAACTCCCACCTGGAACAGACCTACTATCTGTCCATCTTCTCTATCTTCCTCCATCCTTCATCCCCACAGATGATGTCACTAGGTGTTCACTGTAGGCACTCAGAAGGCTACAGGATATAAATAAGGATGTGCCTGCACAATTGGGAACAAAATTAGGAAAATCAGTAAAGGTGGCTCTAGTTAAGCAGTAGCATCATGTAATGCAGCTGAACAACGGCCAGGTCTGCCGCTAAGAGGGCTGGCACGTGTCGCAAGTCTCAGCAGAGACGGGCACGTAACTGGACTCCTACACAGCCCAGTGTGCTGGCCCCCACTGTGCCCAAAGGTGGCTCTCCAAAGGCTGCAGGGACCAAGGATGCATTGAGTCTGTTCCTGGATTATCTCTTCCGGACACTGCCATCCCCATCCATGCTCTGAACACACTTCTCTTCCAGAGGAGTTCTCTGACTGGGACTTGTGAGCTAGCCTGGTGTGGCCTGTTCTTGCTATCTCACCAAAATCCACAACTGACCAAGGCCAAACAATGCAGAGAGATCACAATGTTAGGGATCCTTGAACTGGCTGACGCAATGGGAGTAAGCTCCAGTGAAACATCACAGAACACATTCCGGAAATCAGCTACGGGTCAGTAGTATCCTCGATTTTATTTCCTGATGAGTCCAATGACAGATTTACAAAGATAGAGAGATGCTTCTAGGTTTCTTTGAGGCACACACACACACACACACACAAAAAAAAAGTTTGGCACCTTAATAAGTGAAATGAAAATGTGTACTGTTCTGAGAGGCATCAGATAGACAATTGTATGACCCTGAGAAAAATACATAATGTTCAAAGAATGAAAAGAAAGAGTGGGTTACCTACTTTATCAAAACACAGCTAAAACATAACCATAATTCAAAATTAGGTTGCAGAAGATAAAGTTATCTCAGAAGTACCATTTTCTCCTTTGATTTAAACACACACACACACACACACACACACACACACACACACACAGAGAAAAACTAAAATCTATTTTTTTCCTCCTCCAAAGACATTCATTTAGGTACACACCGTACATTTCTAAAAAAGAGAAGTGTGTCCAGGGAGCTCTGCATTTCACTCTTTTGCTGTGAATGAATAGGCCATTTCTTTTAAATTGCACACAAGTTACTTACAGCTTTCTCTAGTGTTCCAGAAAAATATCCAAGTAATTGTCTTCATTATTATGTTTTTCCTTATTTATATACCCACTAAAAAACTGTACTTACATTCACTCAACAAGTATGGACCAAGTGCCTTCCCTGGTCAGGTACTGTACTGGGTAGTGGGGAAGGTACAGTTATAAAGAGACAAGGATTCTGGCCTTAGGTGTCTGAGGAGGAGAGTGACACAATGAAATAATTACCAATGCCAATGTAATAACCTTCACAATACAAACAAGCTCTCTCCAGGCCGAAGCAATGCATGCATAACCCCTCCCAGGGAAGCTGAGCAGAGATTTCTAGAGGAGGTGGCATTTAACATGCTCCTAAAGGAATTTACCAGCCAGACAAAGGCAAAGGGGCATTCTGGGCAGAGGGACAGCCTGAACAAAGCCATGGAAGCATGATTGGATGGTGAACCTATTTACCAGTGGAGAGGATTTCAGTGTGGCAGGGGTATTGGCGAGGGGAGGGGGAGGAGGGAAGGAAGCCAGGCAATGTCCCTGGAGACACTTGTATCCTGAACCAAAGAATAGGGACATCCTAAAACAGATGAACTCAAGAAATATTATGGAGGTGCAAGATGAAAACAGAAAGAATTCTTGATACATTTAATTCTTAAAAACAGTTGAGGTGGGGCTCGCAGTACACACCTATCAGTCAATAGAACCCCTTCCATTTACTTGGATGAGGAAATTTTTGTATTTGGAGTAATGTCAGTTTGGGTTTGGTAATGGAGAAAAAATGATTGCATTGATAGGATGCATGGATTTTGTTTTAAAAGAGGGGTATGTCAATGAACATACATTCTGGCGATCCAATCAATACTGAAATTGGGTCATAAAACCAGAAGAGACTGTATTATTTCCAAATTTTACGTCAGTTATTTTTCTTCAGTTAAAGTGGCCACAAACCAGAAAACTCCATTAAAGATGGAGAGAGAAAATGAGACTGAAGATTTACAGGAGACAGATTCATGAAAACCCAATGATAATCAGGATAAAGAAAGAGATTAGAAGGGCTCTTTAATGAGAGGATAACATTCTATTCTTGGTTCTTAATTGTTTAACAAACATAAAGAGATATTCATCCAGTCCTTTTTCTCGGGCAGTAAAATGCTTAACAGCTTCTGATTATGGTTACAAAGCGGCTGTGGGTGGACATCCATCTGTCTTTTCATGGCCCCATAAAAGAAGCCCTTAAACTCTGCTACAAGAAAGCCATACGTCCACCTTAACCTCATCCCATTCCTTCCTGCTGGGACCTGAGTGGGTCAGGTAGCTGGGGCTCCAGCCATGGCACCTGGGCTTTAAAACCATCTTTGCTGCGGGTCCAGTAGAGCAGGCAGTGGAAAAAAGCTGCAGAGCCCATTTCTTAGACAAACGAAAGAACTTAAAAAAAAATTAAGGTATTACATATGTGTCCTTATACACCCATTAACCCCTCCTCAAAGTCCCCCCCCCCCCCCACTCATGCCCTCACTCCCTTGTTGTCTGTGTCCATTGGGGAGGCTTTTACAGGAAAGTGCAGGAATGCACTTGGAGTTGGGGCTGAGAAGACATGGGAACTACGTTTTAATCCAAAGAAAGCATAAAAACAAGCAGAGCAAAGTTCTTCCGGCAATCAAAGCTGGATCCTATATGACAAATTGACCTGCTACTTATTTGGAGGGCAAGGGATTATTGAGCCTTAGAAATCAATCTGTCTGGAGAGTATTTCCTAGGGAAACAACAATACCAGTAACAACAATAACGATGATGAGCTATTGGCAGCAGTTAATATGCTATGTGCCTAATAGTCTGCCAAGTACTTTACATGAATTCTCTTATTAAGTCCTTACAACAATTCTATGAGATAAAGACTATTATTGCCAATTTATAAATGAGATACAAAGGCTTACAGAAGTTTAATATCTTGCTCAGGGTCACTCAGCTAGTAAGTAGTTGAGCCCAAGCTCTTGCTCACTACACTCTACTAAACTCTTATTATTCTTTATTACACTCATTACTTATAAAAAAAAACACCCCAACTAATTATAACGGATGGATGATGTTCTAATTAATTAAATATAGATGGCTTTGCTCCCAATTATTACAAATAATCATTCTAAAATCACTACAGACAATATACTCAACATAATTATTCTGATGAAGGGGGTCTTCTATTGAGAATCATCATTTTGTCTCACCTGGGATGTCCTAGTCTCCCACACAGAATTGTTTTTAAAAAATATATATTTTATTGATTTTTTTTTAAGAGAGGGAGGAAGGGAGAGGGATAGATATAAACATCAATAAGGTACATTAGCTGTCTCCTGCACACTCCCCACATGGGAGTGAGCCCACAACCCAGGCATGTGCCCTGATTGGGAATTGAACCGGTAGCCTCTTAGTTCCTGGCTCAATGGTCAGCCACTGAACTACACTGGCTGGGCATCCCCTACAGAATTCTTATCCGTCTTTCTGAAACCAATTCCATTGCCAGCCAACACCACCATAAAACTTGATTCGTTCAAGATGGTGAGCAAAGAGGGCAAAGGAAGTAGAAATAGAGAGAAAGGAGAACAAGAAGGAGGGTTGTAGGAAAGGGGAAATCAGTTGTAAATGATTTTTTATGCCTCTCTCACTTGGGCCCAACTGTGTCTAGAGTATTGACCATCTCCAGCCTCTCTTTTCTTCACTAGAGCTGTGGTTCTCAGAGAGTGGTCCCCAGGCCAGTAGCTTCAGCATCACTTATTAGGAATACAAATTCTCAGGCCTACTGAATCAGAAACACAGAGACAGGGCCCAGCAATCTGTGTTTAATAAGCTCTCCGGGTGAGGTATGCCTGCCAAAGTTTGAGAATGCCTGCACGAGTGAATTTCCTATTCCTCCTTCATGGCCCAGCGTCAATGTTACCTCATCTGCAGAGCCCTCTCCAATCCCCTCAGACAAAATTAATGACTTCCTCCTCTGTTTTCCCATAGTACTTTATTCATGCCAATTATATAGCACTTATTCTATTATAGTTGCTCTTTAGAGTCCTTCCTCCCCCATAGAGTAGAAGGCCTAGGCTTATTATTGATCTTTGTATTTCCAGTGCCTGGCATATGTTACATTATCACAAATTACTTTTATTTTTCTGCTCCCATGACCCATTTCACTCCCTACTTACCCGTTATTTTTCTTCCTCAAACCTGGTTTCTAGGTATGAATAAATCATCAGAATGAGATCTTACCATCCCAAAGCAGTGTTTTCATTGGATTCAAGCTTTCACCTATTCATACCTATCACTCAGGGTTCAAAGAGAGAAGTGGAACCACAAATGGTATAGGTATATAGATATATGCATGTATGAATGGTTAAGGGATTTGAACTTATGTAGTTGTAGACTGTTGAAGTATCTGTGCAAAGGTGTTGTCTCACTTTTATGCTGGAGCTTGAACTCTGGTGGACAAACATGTAGGAAGGGAATGATAGAGCAAAAGGGCGACCAAGGGAAAACTGGATCCACACCCACACAGAACTCAAAAGCGTGAACTGGAATGCATGGGGACAGACCAGAACTGAGTCAGGAGGGAAGAAGCAAAGTCAGGAGAGTGAAAGTCTCAGGCAGTTCATTCCTGGTCATCTCCATTTCTTCTGTGAAAGGAAGCAAAGAGAGAGACAAAGAGATAGAGAGATAGAGAGATAGAGAGATAGAGATAGAGATAGAGATAGAGATAGAGATAGATAGAGATAGAGATAGAGATAGAGAAAGGATGAAGCCAAGAGACTACTCATATTTAGGGGGCATGGGAGAGAGGGAGGTTGAAAAAGTGGTCATGGAGGCTGAGTAATAAGAGGAAAGAATATTGTCATGAAAGCCAAGAAAAGGAAAAGTTTCAAAATGAAAGAGATGTCAACAACATCAAGTGCTCTGAGAACTCAACAAAGACCAGAAATGACATGAGATCATTGCATCTGGCAACTCAGAGGTCATTATCTTTGCTGGTATGAACACTGGTTTTCATAAAGTCCTGGGTCAGAACCAAGGGTTCACTTGGGTTGAGACGGAATGGGAGGTACTATTTCAAGAGCTTTGGCTGTAAACAGACAGATGGAGCAATAGTTCGAAGAAGAGTGAGGATGAACGAAAGACCTTTTTGGTTAGAGATGACAACAAATTGAGCATAAATTTGTACCAGCTGATGATAAGAAGCCAGTGGAGTATCTTTAAAAGAATATGAATAAAGCAACAACTATGTTTGTTTATCAAGTCAGCAAAATATTTACTAAAAATGACATAATTCAGTGCAAGTCATAGTGCACACTGATATAATCTTTCTGGATTTGTCAAATATGTAGGAAAGTGTAGCCTAAGCTATAAATTGGTAATCTTAATTTTTTTCATTATAAATAAAGAAAGGAAGGAAGAAAAACCAGCATTCTATTCATGAATTTAAGGGGAAAAAAGACAAAATGTAAAGAAACAAAGAGGGAAGAAATAAGCAAGTTAAAAGTAACAGTCAATGAATTTTTAAAAAGAAATTAACATAAAGAAATTTAAGAGCTGGTTTTCAAACCACTTCTACTACAGAAAATTTTCCATTCAAATATTTTAAAAATAAAAATATACAAAAATAGTTAGAAAATATCTATAATATGTATTTACACTAATTGGTATATGTATATACATATGTATGTGTACATTTAGAGAGATACACACATAAAACAATATACTGGTATATGACTAATGCACACACACACATCTTACTGAAACAAATAGTAGATACTTGTTGGGAGAAGTAAGAATTTGGCAGATGAGAAAAAACAGGAGATATAAATTTCAATAAATAATTTTTATAACTTTTGATATTTAAATCATAGGAATTAAAAAATAATCCAAAAGAAAGTTCTAGAAAATAGAGATTAAAAAAAAAATCATAATATTATAAGCAATTGAATGTTAATACATTTGAAAAGCAATACATAGATTTAATGCAATCCCTTCAAAATCCCAATGTCATTTGGGTTTTTATGGAACTACAAAAGACACTGAAAAGCCAAAGCAATCCTGAGAAAAAAGAACAAAGCCAGAGGTATCACACTATCTGACTTCAAATTATACTACAGAGCTGTAATAATCAAAACAGCATAGTATTGACAGAAAAACAGACACACAGACCAATGGAATATAATTGAGAGCCCAGAAATAAAATCTCATATATATGGGCAAATATATATTTGTTGTTGTTGTTGTTAATCTTCACCTGAGGATATTTTTCCCCATAGCTTTGTAGAGAGTGGAAGGTTGGGAGGTGAGAGAAAGGGAAAGAGAAACATCAATGTGAGAGACACACATCTATTGGTTGCCTCCTGCACACCCCTTGATGGCGCAGGAGATGGAAACAAGGGCAAATAATTTTTGACAAAGAAGCTAAAATATACAATGGAGAAAAGAAAGCCTCTTCAATAAATGGTACTAAGAATACTAGAAAGGCACATGCAAAAAAATGAAACTAGACTACAGTTTGTCCTCAAGTATAAAAATTAATTCAGCCGAAACCGGTTTGGCTCAGTGGATGGAGCATCGTTCTGCGGACTTAAAGGTCCCAGGTTCGATTCTGGTCAAGGGCGTGTACATTGGTTGTGGGCTCATCCTCAGTGGGGGGTGTGCAGGAGGCAGCTGGTCGATGTTTCTCTCTCATCAATGTTTCTAACTCTCTATCCCTCTCCCTTCTTCTCTGTAAAAAATCAATAATATATATATTTTAAAAATTAATTCAAATTGGATCAAAGACCTAAATATAAGATCTGACAAAATAAATTACAAAGAAAAAAAAAACATAGGTACTAAACTTTTGGACTTTGGCCTTAGAGAATATTTTATGAATTTGATCTCAAAGGCAAGGGCAGTAATAATAAATGAATGGGGCTATAGCAAGCTAAAAAGCTCTGCACAGTAAAAGAAACTGCTAACAAAACAAAAGGCAACCAACTAAATAGGAGATGATATTCCCACACAACAGCTCTGACAAGGGGTTAATATCCAAAATATATAATGAACTCATACAACTTGACACCAAACAAGCTATCCAATTAAAAAACGTGCAGAGGTCCTGAACAGACACCTCTCCCAAGAAGACATACAAATGGCCAACAGATATATGAAAAGATGTTCAATGTAACTAGCTATCAGGGAAATGCAAATCAAAACTACAATGAGGCCCTGCCGGTGTGATTCAGTGGCTGAGCATTAACCCAGGAACCAGGAGGTTGCTGGTTTGATTTCCAGGTTGTGGGCACAATCCCCTATAGGGGGGTGCGCAGGAGGCAGCTGATGCATGGTATGCTTCCACATCAATATTTCTCCCGCCCCCTTCCTCTCTCTCTCAAAGTCAATTAACATCTTAAAAAACAAACAAAACACCAAAAAACCTTGGTCTTGACACTTGTTAGTTTTGGCAGGTAAAAGCAACTTTTTATTGTAGAAGTAAACCTCTCACAGTTGAAGAGGGATTGCTATCATAGGGAATAAAACATAATACATGAAAAGAAAAATCCATAACCAAGTACATATAAGTTATTTCAGAAAGGCAAGGATGAGTTTGGAATTTTATCAATATACACTTTTTTATTTTAAAATAGGAAAGTATTATCACTTCAATAGACACTGCAAAGCCACTGAGTAAGATTTGAAGTGGATAAGGATATGACCCTCAAATACGCCTCTTTGACATAAGAATGGTTTTGAGGTGAAGGCACTGGAGTTCTGAAATCCCTTATCTGCCTAAAAGAAGAGCTTCCCCTCAAAAACTCAAATGTCATAAATCCCCTCCTCAGAGCAAATCTAATCAAACTCTTCTCAGAGGAGGAAAGGCAGCATCCACCCAGGCAGACATGGCCACACACACTACCTCCTCTCTAATTTCCAAGGGCCCATTCATCTTTCCAAGAAGTCATCTGCTTCTTCCCTTCCCCTGGGAAGGTAGGCATATAGACTCCAAATTCTTTCTTTTTAAAATTGAGGTATCATTGACATACAACATTGGATTAGACCCCAAATTCTAACCACCTCTTTGAGTTACTCATCTCTGGATGCTCGCATGTGTAAGTGGGATGCACATGCTAATAAACTTGTTAGTTTTCTCTCGTTCATCTGTCTCCTGTCAGTCCAGCTTACAGGCCCCCAGTGGAGAACATAGGAGGGGAGAAGGGAAAAGAATTTCCCCCCTACAGGTCCCATATCCGTTCCTTATTTATTTATTTTTTTCAAAGCAGCTTTAAGAGTAGGAATAGAGCCGAAACCAGTTTGGCTCAGTGGATAGAGCGTCGGCCTGCAGACTAAAAGGTCCCGGGTTCAATTCCAGTCAAGGACATGTACTTTGGTTGCGGGCACATCCCCAGTAGGGGGTGTACAAGAGGCTGACCAATGATTCTCTCTCATTGATGTTTCTAACTTTCTATCCCTCTCTCT